TGACTTTATTGCCTTACTTCGGGTGAAATTATTACACAGAATACCGAGAAGTCCAAAACAGCATGATACTTTAAAAACAAAACATCTAAATATGGGAAACACGCACCTTGTTTACCACTCCAATTTTCTAATTCTGTTTCGTTTATATGTCATATCCTCTTAGCTTTTGAGAGATGATGGTTCTCCAACATTTCTTATGTATTTTGTTGCTTCAAGTAACTTCTGTCCATTGACTATCAGTGGCTTTTTTCTGGCATTTCAATCTCATTAATTGGTTTCTTCATTGTTTCCCACGTATTGCTTCACTTCAGTATTCTACGTCATAATGTGATCCATTCATTTCATGTCTTTCTGATTGCTAGCTAAGTTTCATTGTAGTACTTATACCCGTTAAAAGTTCATCTTTACTCACACCTTTTGGACATGGCACTGATATAAATGAGAGTGAAAAGAAGAATAAGCTGAGAAAAAGGAGCGAGATAAAAATCCATATCAGAGAAGCGGAATAAAGATAGAAAATGGAAAGAAGATGGTACATTCTATAGTTTGGTTTGGTTGGGTTTGGTTTGTTTTACGGCATATCAACGTCAATGGGTTATTTAATGCCGACAACATTTTTATTGCTGGTAATATTGTTTTGTCAAAAATGTATTTCTGGTATTATTTTTTCCTTCAAAACTGTATTACTGGTAATATTTTTTTTTAAAAATGTATTGTTGGTTATATTTTGTTTTTTTTCAAAAATGTATTGCTGCTAATAGTTTTTTTTCCTTCAAACATTTATTGATGATAATTGTTTACAAAATATTTCTGGTATTAAAACCTATTTTTACACTTTCATAGTGTTTTGACCACAATTTCTCGGACCCTCACAGGTGCTACCACCCCGGTTCAGGGTGAACCTGGGAACACCAGCAATTAAGAGGTGGTTCCACGCTACTCCGAACCTCCTGATCAGAGGCCTTGCTACTGGACGTAGTTTATCGTCTTACCCAGGACGCGGATGTAGTTTATCGTCATACCCACGACGCCACTCTATAGCAAGAATTATTTACTTAGTAAAAACATCTCTATCTCAATGATTTTCGCCGGGTGATCTTCGCTTGTAGTCTTGTGATGTATTGAGCTTCAATAAAGAAAGTAAAAAAAAAGATTTTGGGGAAATCTCTTCTTAAATTTCGACGTATGAGGGTCGGAAATCTGTTTTAGAACCATATAAAAATCGTGGATAAATCTCTTTGTAAGCATAAATGCCCAAAGACAGATCATGAGAAGACTTTTAAAGATAGTAAGAATACCTGGCCTGTCTAATGAAGTTTCGTGCTTCCGCTTCGCTCAAAATCAAGGTTCGTGAAATATAACTTAATTTAGATGCTAAAATGCCAGATTAAATATTTGTGCAAAACAATTCTATTCAAGATTTTTTACTCTTCTCCTCCTAATAATCTGATCATATGCCAAAACAATCCAAACGTAGATAATATCAAACTAATATGTCTAATAATCAGTAAGCAGTATTCATCTGTGGTGTAGTCTCATATTTGCCACCGGCAGCCATAGTAATTTTTCGAGCCAATGTAAAAGTCAAGTTTTAATAAAATAGACATTCGAAGCAGCTACACGATTTCCATTACCTACACCGCATGTACAGGCTTTGATCTACTGCTGTCCCAGACTAAGAATACTTAATATTTCCACGTACATTATATTTCTGCATATCTTTGACATGGCTCAGTGTATAACTTTGTTTAGGGTTCTGACAAAACAACACCAAATCATACGTTCTGGATTCTTATCTGTTTCATCTGAACTACTAAAAATTGAATCAAGACTTGAGTAGAAGATCAGACAAAACACGGAACAGAATAATGTTCAGACATCAGACGAAGAACAGCTGGAGACTGAAGTTGAAAGTGAGAATACTAATTTGTCTTATGTCAGCATCGACAAACTAAGTATTGACTAATCGAATGTAGTTGAGAATGAAGTAGAGGAAAATATAACTGAACGGAATCATGAAACAATGACATTGAAAAAGGAATATATATATTACATTGGAACTAGGAAATGAGAAATAATTAAAGAGCTGGTAAAAGTAATTAACATTGACGTCCGCATTATCAGAAATAAGTTTAGACATTATTTACATTATTCTGACTATTGTCCTCATCTTTGTCGTCATATTTATTACAACGCTTCGGCCGTTGTACGCTCCGGCCTTCTTCAGGTGGTTGAAATGTCGAACTGAACCCTTTATTTCGCTCACTGGGGTAGACTATTCTAGTTCCACGTGCCATGTTTAATAGATATCAGTTTTCAGTTATCTCCTGTTAATTTCCATCTGAAAGTTCTCCACTGCCTTATTGAACTCACGCTCTTTGGGTCCTCTCACTGGATCTAACTAACGCCTTTATCCACTGTGCCATGTGTCCATGAGTACATCTGTGTATTCATTTCTCGGTATTATAAACCTAATGTCTTCAGCAATCATTTTTTACCAGTGCTCATATTGAAATTTTTGCTATTATCACTACATGTTTTTACCAGAGCTCATATTGCATTTTTTGTTGTTATTATCGCTTTTCTCTGGAACTCCTTATTACTGGTTCCCATATTGTATTCATTTCTATGCTTGGTCGTCTCAGGAGATTTTTGTGGCCTAGCATATGTGTTGATTCCTTAAGTTTACCAATTTTCCAGTGGTGTTCTTTGTCTATGGTGAGAATGAGGTAGATGTAAATATAACGGAACAGAATAATGAAACAATGACAATTAAAAAGAATATGTATATTATATTAGAACTAGGAAATGAGAAATAATTGAAGGGGTAGTGATAGTTAACATTGACGTCTTCAAGAGAGTTAACTTTTGTATATCAGAAATAAGTGTAAGTTTAAACATAATTTATGTTGGAAATCTTGCTGTAAGAGAAATATGCAATCCAGCAAACGATAATTTGACGGAACTATATCAAATGATATATGCTACTGTCAAATTTAATCAGTCAAAGCGTCTAATAAATAAGAAAACGGAGAAATTCCGGTTACTAAATAATAAACGAAGATAGAAGTTAAATATCTAGAAAATATAAAAAACAATGACAACACTCTGGTTTTCGAAGACGTTCATAAAAATAATGAAATACAATGTGGTAAAGTGAGTAAGCTAAAGAGAAAATATTAATTGCAAGTTAAAGAACAAATACCTCAATTGAAAGAAGAATGAAACACAAAATCAAGACAAAAATGCATAAAGCGCAAAGCTGCTGTAAGCTCGAGAAATGTTCTATAGACCAAACAAAATATTTTAAACGGAAAGAAAATTTACAGAAAAATAGAAAGCCAAATATTTACAATGGAGTAAACAATACTGGAAAGACAAATAAGCATATTCTGGAATGACATATAGAAAGATGACTAATGACACCATTTAGATACTAATTGGTTAAATGATGTGGGAATTACGAAAATAGGGAAAATATCCAAGAAGAGCAATGGCAAAATATTACACCAAAAATAAATAAACGTCAAGAACTGAAACATTTGCAAAATTCTGGCTTGACATTTTTTCTGCTACTCATGCCTCTATGGCAAAACTATTTAATGAAATGCCGCTGGAGCCCACAAGAAAAAAAAAAACAGAATGGTTCAACTATACTTGTTACCCAAAAATAATGACACGGAGGTTTCTAAAATACTATCGACCTATAAATAAATAAATTATTTGTCATATGGCACATTGGAAGAACTTATTTTATATATGATTTTTAAAATCTTTTCTCTCCAAGTTAGTCGATAATGCTATTACGACGTAGGGGGTTACAGAGAGTGAAAGTGAAAGAGAATGAGAAGTCTGGGGATGGAGAGGATTAATGAAATTAAAAAAGGAAAGGGTTTTAAAGAAGACAGAAAATGGCGATTGACATTGCATTTAAATCGGAAAAGAGTTCCACAGGTGAGTAGTGTAAGTAAAGAAACGGTTAGAGCAAATGTGGTGGGTGTATGTAGTAGTTCAACAGTAAAACAGTGAGACCTACTTGTCAATATAGTAGAACGCTTAAATTCATGCAGTTAGGGAACCTGGGAAATAAGTCTCATTGTTGAAATTGTGTAAGACAATTTCATTTGAATCATCTCCTTACCCCCACTGCTTCATGGCAGATGAAGAGAGTTAACGTATGCTTTAGGGTGGTGCATTATATTGTATTTGAGTCTCTGTGATTTTTTGCTACAATTTTCTTGAGTTTCATTAATTTGACTTCATTATTTTGATGCTATACGTTAAAACGGGGATTCTAAGAGTGTTAATGGCCGTTATTATATTTGACGAGGTCAATTTAGTTTTCATTACTACTAATACTCGCCTGATTTACTATTTTTTTAATTTTGCATTTTGTTTTTGAATGTTATGTCCAAATGACTTCATTCATACTCATATCTTCCTGGTCAAATTCATTAATCACAGTATCTACAACAATAATTGTAGTCTCGCTACTAATAGGCTTTCATCACGAGAAGTAGGCCTTTACACATTTGCATAGCCCCAATTATATGAATATAACATCACTCTAACTTTTCTCAGTTTTTAAAAGCCTTTCCAATTCATTTATGGGCTTATTTTGATACAGAATAAACCTTTCTACTTGTTTCTTGCGCCAATCTCGTGTAGCTGCAATATTGAATAAAAACAAACTAGTATGAACAACACCCTCAATCTGTAGTTCAAAGAGAAGATGTTAATATGCTCTGGCCTTTTTTATTAACTCAAATCGAATAATACACGTAAATTTGGCAAACTTTATTATCAATATGTTAGTACACTGATTAATGCGAGCTTGCCATGTGACGCAAACATTTCTGAGGCCATATTTATATTACACTCTCTCATTAGTTGATTGTAACATCACATTCACATATTAGTATAAAATAAATGGCTTTTTATTATTAGACTATGTACTCCTTTATCTATCTCCACACACATGTGTGGTGTATGCGTGTTGATTAGATAGATAGATAGATAGATAGATAGATAGATAGATAGATAGATAGATAGATAGATAGATATGAAAAGGACTGAGATAGATAAAATTGATAGAAATGTATTAACAGTTAAATACGGATAGATATTAATAGATAGAGATAGGCAGATACATACATACATACATACATACATACATACATATATATTAACAGAATTAGATAGATAGATAGATAGATAGATAGATAGATAGATAGATAGATAGATAGATAGATAGATACGTGTTGTAAATTTCTGTTTCTATTATTAGGTGCAGATTTTCTGCCTCTTGACTAACGGATCACACTGATTGCGGAAGATGTATTGCTCTAGGCTTAGAGTTCATATTCATACATCAAACGACTCTTTCGGTGGAAAATAATTTAAAATAGTGACTGGCTTATTGCGACTTTGTTTCTTCGAAGTGCTTGATATTAGAATAAGTGATAACACGGATATCTTTCATCAACCTAAAACTCAGAAATATTTCTTCAACATTAATCTCACAAAGCAGGTAACATTAATTCAAACCTAATATGCACTTCCCTTCCTTCACATATAGCCGATCCATTATTTTCCCTCTCTCACGCGCATTCACTAATCCCTGACATATTGACACTAACCAACAAATACAAATCTCTTCTCCAAAAAAGTGATCCCTGAATTTACTGACATCCTACCCCAAGATGTTTCTGTGTCTTGTAGCAAATTTCCTTTGAGTAGATATAAGATAGACTATTTCTTGGTTTTCTGACAAACTGAATGCAGACAGATTCTAAAGATTTCCATATTTAATTTCAGCTCCAAAATTGTAATCTGCCGATGGTCAGATAATAAGTAAATATATGGGCCATTGCGTTAGATAAAAAACGCGGGAAGATTCACATACTATAATGACTACAAAGTGCCAGTATTACAATGGATAGTGGTTAGGGATGAGAACTATCATAGCCGATAATGTATACCAGTCGCGTACGTTGCATCCACTTACACGTAAATTGTGAAATTTATCAATGATCTCTACCCTAAATCTATGTGCTAAATGCTAGGATTTATATCTGGCGGAAAATAAAAAAAAACTATTATACAAATTAATTCTATCGCAAATACAAATAAAATTATAAATAAGTGCACATGAACTTTATGGACACCCGTATATATATATATATATATATATATATATATATATATATATATATATATATCAAAAGTATATAATTGGTATATACGGAATGAATTCCCATAACCAACAATTACTATTCTTAAAAGAGTGCTCAATACAAAGTAGAGCAGATATAATTATTTTTATAAAAAATTATAACATAAGTATGTTATAAAATCACTACAAAATAGCCATTTTGTTTCAACACACTCTGTGTCTTATCAAGTGATGATGTTGAAAATAAAATAAATGGTTTTAAAGTTTCAGATTAATTAACGATCCTACACTAGGGGGAAACATTGTTACAAAAGCTAGAATAACCAATCAAAAACGAAGTATAGAAAGATTCAAATGCTTGACAACGAAAACGATTGTGTTTTTGTTGTGTCACGCGTGAGTTTAAGACCATATTCACAAACTTTAAAATAAAAACGGAAAAGAAAGGGAAAAAGAAAAATATATATATACATGTATTGTCAAATGACCGGATGTATTGTAGCGTCTTGTCTTGTCGAACGTAATTTCAATGAAGAAATGAATTGAATAAACATATATATTTTTTCTTTTCTCAATAATTTTGTAGTTTTTAAACTTAATAGTGATTAAATTTGGATTTTAAAAATTGCCAGTTTTTAATTTTAATATTAAATTTTATCATATAAATTTATAATTATTAGTTAGTATAAATTATTTTAATATTACACGTATTTAAAGATCTGAATAGCTATTATAGCAGGATTTCGTTGTCAAGCTTTTGAATCTTTCTTTACTTCGTTTTTGATTGGTTATTCTAGCTTTTGTAACAATGTTTCCCCCTAGTATAGGATCGTTAATTAATCTGAAACTTTTAAAACCATTTATTTTCTTTTCAACATCATCACTTGATAAGACACAGAGTGTGTTGAAACAAAATGGCTATTTTTGTAGTGATTTTATAACATACTTATGTTATAATTTTTTTATAAAAAATAATTATATATATATGTATATATATATATATATATATATCAAGCGGGGCTATATTGAATCTAATTCGTTACCTCTTCGTCACCGAGGCCCGTTGGAATTGTTGGTATGGAGTTTACCTCCTATCTTAACTGTTTTCAATTCTCGGTAATGGATGCGCACTGCCGTCCATTGCTTTCTGCATTCTGTTGAGGTTTCTTCTAGCTTCGATGAATTATTTAATTATGATTATTTCAAATCCTCCTAATTATTTTGTGTATATATATATATATATATATATATATATATATATATATATATATATATATATATATATATATATAACTGAATGATGAAGCTAATACCAATCATCTAAGTTGTTTTACTTGTATTATTTATATACATTCATCAATTATATTTTTATATATGCAAATACCGGAAACAATACAATATGGTGACAGTTTCAAAAACTTTCAGACTCCTCATATCATCTGGTATTATTTTTTTTTTGTAGGCTTTGTGTGTACCCTTTGTGTAGGCCACTGAAAGGGTAAGGGAAAACCGTTTTTTTCCAAAAGATTTTTTAGTTTTATTTTCAGACAAAGTATATCTTAATTAATTATGCAGTATTCTTCTCTGCATCATTTCACTTAAGGACGTTTACGATCATGACTCTCCACAATTCCATCTATTTTGTTTACATTGTTCTGACTGTAGTGCTCATCTTTGTTGTCATATTCACAACGTTCCGGCCGTTGTAGGCTCCGGCTTTTTTTCCGGTGATTGGAATTTCATACTAAACCCTTTATTTCGTCAACCGGGATAGATTGTCCTAGTTCCATAATCTTTCTGGTGTCTTCCTTTAGCTCAGTTCATTGGGTCAAGTTACTGGATCTAACCAACCCTTTTATCCACTTGACCATGTGCCCGTGAGGATATCAGTGTATGAATTTTTAGGGTCTTATAAACTTAATATCTCACTACTGTTATTACCTGAGCTCATATTGTAATTTTGTTGCTATTATTCTTTTTTTGTAGCACCCTTGTTCCCATATTTTATTCATTTCTATACTTGGCCGACTTTGGAAATTTTTGTGGCATAGCATATATTCTGATCCTTTAAATTTTTGTTTTTTCAGTGAAGTTCCCTTTCTATAATTTCGACCTCATCTCACAAGGAGCGGTGGTCACCCTTTTCCTTCCATATGTGGTCAACTACGCGTGATTTTTTCTATTTACCCTCGTGTTAGGGATTTACGATGTTCTTTCAGTCTTATCTTAAGGGGGTGGCCTGTTTCTCCAAACCAAATTGCGTACACACAGACCTTAGTCATGTTCTCCTCTCTTGGGGTATTAATCGAAATAGGTTTCTGCAAGGAGTTGAACCACTTTTGAAGTTCGTCCTGTTTTTATATGGACCACAGATATATTGTATTTTTTCCGATAATCCCTTTACATAGGGTCGGCAGACCGAAGCTATTTTCTGCGAGTTGCTATCTTTTTGTACCCTTGTACCCTAGTTTGTCGGAGCTGCTATCATGTGCCCAGAGTAGCTCTTACCTTCAATACCAAGCTACTGTAGGGGTGAACAAAAACTTGGTGAGTTGAGTTAAAAGGGTATAACTGAGACATCCGGAAGAGGCATGACACGTGGAACTAGAAAAATTTACCTCGGTGGATGAAATAAAGGGTTCAGTACAAAATTCAAATCACCTGAAGAAGGCTGGAGCACTCAACGTCCGAAACGTTGTGAATATGTCAACGAACATGGGGACAACAGTTCAAATAATGAAAATATTCTAAATAATTACAATACCTCATCTCAGAAAAAAGACAGATATTCCTTTCCTTTGTAGCTATTTATAAATTGTATAGATATCAGCAAAGTGTGATATAGATGGATAGATACATAGATGATGAACAGACCGAGATAGATAGATAGATAGATAGATAGATAGATAGATAGATAGATAGATAGATACGAAGTAACTTTTTGTGTAATGTTACACTGGAACTTTAAAAACGAATATTATTGTTTTGCAAATGAATATAGATTTTTTTTTATTCATTATTACTTTTTCGAGATGCTCAATATTTTCTTTGGAAAAGTCGTGTTCAGACTTTGGAAACACAATTATAGCAGTTAGTCAGCTAGAAAAAAAAAGAGTCCTTCCTGCTAACTCAAGTGACAATAGCGTCAAATGGAAATGGACGTTTTTCTTTTTCTATTCCACTTCGATATTACTGCGTAATCCGGTTCTGTCAAATTCTATCTTATGTTCATAATGGAAGGAAAGTGCATTATCTTTTCATACAGTCAAATACATAACACACCTAGAAGAAGCACACACAAAACACATACACACACACACACACAAACACCCACACACACACACACACACACACACACACATATATATATATATATATATATATATATATATATATATATATATATATATATATTATTTCATTGAAAACGACAGACAGGTGCTTTTATTTAGTGTTTTATACAATTTCTCATGCGATATAATATTTTTTTTCTTTTCCGATGTTAAATTATATAAAAACTGTCCGAATGTTCTTTTTATCCGAGCGCTTTCCGCTATGCATTTAGCCATTTTCAATGATTATATTTCAACTCTTAAAATAAAAAATAGTTTGTTGTATGTATGTTTTATAAAATGCTTTCATTCTTCAACACACGGTCAAGATATTATGTCCATGTTCAAAGTTAATAGTATTAAGCGTTGTTTTTTTATTTTTTTATTAATAAGGCTTCCATTATTTTTAGATTTTTTGCATGTAGATGATGATATTTTATTAGTGTTGTCAACAAGTGTGTTACGAATAGTGTCCGGTAGGTCTCCATAAATAAACACTTAAACTATTCGTCATCTATTATCTGTCATCCCAATATCAATGGGGGCTTTGTAGTATGGAATTTCACCATCTTCACTGTGTCACTCTATTCTCTCTTCGAGATACATGTGATATCCATTTTAGTTGTTGCTACTTTTGAAAGTCTTCAAGTGATGTGGTTTCTTTTATCTGGTAATATTCTGCGTTTTAGATTCTGTAGCGCCAGTTCACGAGCTTCTAAGAAGTATTGTCCTCTCCAAGACCTACATGCTTCACTTCAAACCATTTCGAAATTTTGATCTCAGGAAGCAGCTATTAGTTTAAATGTTTTTTAAGTGAATTTGGCGCCATACACGGAACCCATATGAACGTCTCGATTTGATGTGACTAAGAATAGAATGCAGACAAAATCACTTCTACAAGAATCAGATCATTTTTTTAATTCAAAAAGAACATTATTTCAAATCATAATTTTAATTCATCAGTGGACCAAAAGATAGCTGGAATTCTTAAATTTAAGTTTTTATATCGACTCAATTAGACGGTAGTCGATTGGTTCAGAAATATCTGTCGTTTTTCTTTCTAACAAAAACTGAAGGTCTTAAATTTAGCAAAAAAAGCTTTCTAAATTGATGAAACATTAATTCTTCAGCATAAGTATAACAGAGGATGCATTCCTGTAATGTAGGTACCTCCAATAAATCGCTAAAAAAAGAGCATAGCTTGATGAAAAAGACGCCAACCTTGCCGAAAACAAAATTTTATTGTCTAAATGTTTGTTATCATTAAGAGGAAAGACCAAAGTTTTTTTTAATTATTTTAAAAAAAATTTTCCTTCTTTTTAGAACATTCTAAATTTTGATTAAAAAAACTTTGTTTCTATTTGTATCAGCGGAACTAGTAAATAACATTTTTAGCACGTTTTTTTTTGGTATGACACACATTAATTTGAAAAATCATGCAAAAATAGAAATAATTGTCGGATGTTAATGAAACTTTCAGGAACCATTCACGGATGATCGAAATTATTATAAATATGTTTTTTTTTATTAAAGTCATGGTAGAAATATTTTTTAAAATATTTATCCCCTCCCATAACTAATTTTATGAAAACGCTAGAAATTCGATCGCATCGGGTTTAGTGATTACAATAATTAAAAGCACAGGGCTTTGAGGAATGCAAATCATGTTTTGTTTTGTTTTTTAATTGGAGCCAACGTACTTGAAAATCAGCTCTGAATTGATTGTAACATACAAAACTCAATAAAACAAAGATATTATTTAATTTCAAATGCTTTTATTTGCTTTTAATTGTTTTTACGAATATGGACAATATTTTCTGAAAGCAAAAAAAATTTTCGATGAAAAATGAATTTTTAATATAATTATTTGTTATTTCTTTAATTATAATAGATTTTACATTAAAGTTGTTAAAATATTATAAAATTAGTTAAAAGCCGCATCGGCTTTCCTAAGTGTCCTTATGATTTTTTTAGCGCGTTGTAAATTGTATCATTTTGACTAATCAGAAGATCCACAGTAATTAAGAAATGTAATTTTGTGCTTATAACAGGGCTGTAATTATAAAGTACGGAAGACCAACCAGAATATAATTAAGTTGCGTTATTTGAGTTAAGCATTGTTCTCCGCTGTTAAGGCCTTTACTTTTGCGAAACACGTGTGGAGAAGTTAATTTGATTTTTCAATTTCAACTGAGAAGGGTACCTACAAGTATCAGTATCATCTTATGAAATTTATATGATCTTATTTTTATATTAATCTCAGTTATGACATTTTTCCATAAATGAAATATCAAAATTAATAATAAAATGAATGCAAATACAAATAACAGTAAAATGTAATAAATGTACATAAAATTATAGTATTTTATGTACAGTTCTGATAAAATTTAATGAGAAAGGTACCTATAATTTAATTAGATAACTTTCTTAGGAAATATGGAATTTAATGTCACTCTTAACAGTCTTATTTTAATTTCTTTATAATATATTTTCCATAAAGCATCATAAACGTAAAGGTGAAAGCTAAGTACAAAAAAAAATTAGACCGCTGAAAGTTTTCATTAAAAATAACGAGGTAAATTATTTGTTCACTTAAAACCTTTAACTTGCGATGGAAAGGTACCAACACAAGAACGTAAAGCAAAGGCGAAAGCGGACAACCTTGACGAATGGAGCGAGACAATACGAAAGGCTTCGATCTTCTCCATTCACTTCCACCAGCGCACCGGGGGTCGCATACAAAAGTCGGATCCAGGAGCGAAAGTCGTCTCCGAAACCGGCCGCCGAAAGGACAGCCTCCAGAAACCGATGGCCAACCCTATCAAAGGCCTTGGACTGATCTAAATTGATCAGTGCGGCTTCACTGTCGACTTGTTCTGAGATCAAGCGTACCATATGAAGGTTATCCTGAACAGTTCTGCCCTTCACAGCACAGGTCTGTTCGGAGCCAATCAGACTAGACAGGACAAGTTGCAAATGTTTGGCTAAGATCTTCGCCAAAATCATTAACATGGTTTAATGGCAAAAGTTATCTAACCCGTCCCCGCCGTTCTTGTCCTTACTTGATCACACCCCTGGTGAAGCGTTGAGGTCTAGACCCCTGCTTCATCCAGTGGCTGAAAATCAGTCCCAGCAAAGGAACAAAAACGGGCGACAGCCTCAAGTAACCTTCGTAGGGAAGACCATCTAGACCCGGAGATTTATCCAGGCCAACCTGTTTCAGCGCTTCCCAGATTTTTTAATGGGAAATGTAAAAAAATTTCCCAAATATAAATGGGAAATATTAAAAAAAATGTCCAAAAAATAAAGCAGGCCAAAAATCTTGTAAGCTATGTTCAGAGGAGAAATTAGCCATAGCTTTATATAATCAACCACACGTTCTATTAAACTCTAAAACCGAGATTCTTTTATATATATATATATATATATATATATATATATATATCATGTGTGGTCATGCGTCTCGAATATACGAGTTTGTTGTTGCTTTGAAATTTTTCATGCAACAGAAGCAGACTATAATTATTGTTTCGTCCGTGTATTGTTTGATATATTGAAATGTAATTGTCATCTTTGATAATGGCTTATGTAAGCCGAAACCTTAGATACTATTTAAACATGTATCAATATGGTGATTTCCTTTCGTCTTTCAATGATAATGTTATTAAGCTTATCAGACAATAGGAAAGGAACTTATTAAAAATAAATAGGCAAAACTTGTCTATATTATTTAATGAAATATGCATCAATGGAAAATTGCTGCCTAATTATACAATAATGTATATATATATATATATATATATATATATATATATATATATAAAGAGAGTTATACTTGTTCCAACGACAGCAAAGTGTATATGTTAAAGAGAAGAGGCAAGTTTTAGGTTTTAATGTGAATTTTTAAAATATATATTACACTTTATTTTACATATTCTTTTGCAAAATATATGGAAAATAATATATATATATATATATATATATATATATATATATATATATATATATATATATATATATGGAGAGTTGAGTGTGTTTGTGAGCGCGGAAATAAATCCATAAATATATTTGATAATTTTAATCGCATGCGCATCTCACAACTATTTTAGTATTTAACACATTCAGGCAGATAAAGCTATATGGTTATAATTAATGGATAAGAAAAGGGAGAGAAAGGAAGAGGTATAAAAGAATAAAAGGGAAGGAGGAAATATATCAGGCATGAAGCCAAGAGAATAGCGTAAGGAAAAGAAAGTGAAAAGAAAAATAAGTAAATAGAGATTGGAGCAAAGAATGAAGACGAAAAAAGCATGTAACTCAAAGACAATGAGCGAAACACTGAAATGCAATTCAGGGGAAAGCTGTAAATGTTCGATTTATTAAAATCCCTCACTGAGACTCACACTTGATATCATATACCTGCAAGATATTTTATCAAGAATTAATATAACTCAATATCAAAATATATACCTCTGTTTCTTTTGGTTTGTTTTGTTCTTATTCCTAGACCCGTTGCCAGGCGAGAGAGCACATTATGCCTTACAATTTAACCAATAAGGGGCAATTAGATTCATACTTTTCCCATGGGTACTCGTACGAAAGTGAACGTAACGAACTCGTCTGCATTTTG